CACAGGTGCCCGCCACAATGCCCGGCTATTTTTTGGTTGCAGCCGTCATTGTTGTTTGGCAGGCCCCGGCTGGATTTGAACCTGCCACCTTAGGTGTACATGGCTGGCACCTTAGCCACTTGAGCCACAGGTGCCAAGCCTAAAATATAATTTTTTATAATAAAAAATACATAATATAAAATTTACCACTTAACCATTTTTAGGTGCACAGTTCAACAGTAGTAAGTGCAGATGCTCCTCAACTTGCAAAGGGGTTAGGTTCCAGTAAACCCACCACAGACTGAAAATATCATAAATTGGGCCAGGAAAGGCAGCTTGTGTCTATAATGCTAGCATTTTTGAGACTGAGACTGGAGGATGGTTTAAGGCCAAGAGTTTAAGAGCAGCATGAGCAACATAGTGAGACACCCATCTACAAAAAATTTAAAAATTAGCCAGGCATAAGCCTATAGTATTCCTAGCTACTCCGGAGTCTGTGACGGGAGGATCACTTGTGCCCAGGAGTTTGAGGTCACATCTAGCCATTGTATCCAGCCTGGGCAACAGAAAAAGACTGTCTCTAAAATTAAAAAAAAAAAACCAAAACACTTAAGTCAAAAATGCATTTAATGCACCTCACCTACCAAACATCACACTTGAGTCTGGCCTACCTCGAACATACTCTGAACATTTAGGTTAGTCCTCAGTTGAGAAATCCATCTAACGCAGCTTTCCAGTTTATAACAAAGTGGTGAATAGCTCAAGTAATATCTCACTGTGCTGAAAAGTGAAAAACAGAATGGTTGTATGGGTATTTGAAATATGGTTTCTGCTGAATTTGTATCATTTTTGCACCACCGTGAAGTTAAAAAATCTTAAATTGTACCATCATAAGTTGGGGGCCACCTCAATAAGCATATTGTTGTGCAACAGACCTGTAGCCCTTTTCATCCTTCAGAACTAAAACTCTACACTCATTAAATTAACAACGCCCATCTCCCCGTTCCCCGTCCTACTCTCTATTTCTGAGAGTGGCTATTTTAGATACCTTATGTAAGTGGACTCGCATAGTGTTTGTCTTTTTTGTGACAGGTTTATTTCACTTAGCATAATGTCCTCACGGTTAACTGGAGGTTGTAGCATATGTTGTAGCTTTCCCTTTTTTAAAAGGCTGATATTCCATTGTATGTCTCTATCACCTTCTGCTCACCTATTCATCTGTCAGTGGATACTGTGGTTGCTTCCACCTCTTGGCTATCGTGAATATTGCCGCAATAAACATGGGTGTGCAAATGTCTCTTTAATACTATGCTTTCGATTCTTTTAGATATACACCCAGAAGTGGAACTGCCAGATCATCTGGTAATTCTATTTTAAAACTTTTGAGGAACCATCATGCTGTTTTCCACAGTGGCTGCAACAGTTTAATTCCTACCAACAGTGGGTTTCAGTTTCTCCACATTTTTTCCAGCACATTTTACTTTTCTTT